ATAAGGTATATATTATATGAAAGACCTTTAGTATTGTTCTACATGATTTAAGTGTGGAATAATGGGTTGGAAAGTGATTCTAAGTCCAAAAACGGACTTAGAAGCCAAATCGACCGGGTTGCCGGAAAATAACCTTTTATAGGTTATTTGTGTTGATATGGGTTTTGTGATGATAAAACCTTGTTAGGAACTTCATTTAAAGTATTTTTGAGCTTCGCCGGACTTTCGTCGGAGTTGGTCAAAGTTCGCCGGAGTTGGTCAAAGTTCGCCGGAGTTGGTCAAAGTCCAATCGAGAAACGTAGAACGTGCTTAAGCTTAATTAAGGTGAGGATGACCGACTATGATACTTATAATCTTTGGGTTAATTTCATGGGATTTCCTAAGTGAATATAAAAGTGATGTGCATGAATTGTTGATGGTTAATCATGCATAAATAGAACTACTATTGATTAAAAGTATAGTATGCATGATACACAAATTTATGAATAAATTGTGTATGTTTAGATGTTATGAATATGTGTGTATGATGGTTGTACCAACCATGAATATCATTTGGGATAGTATACTTTGATGCCATGAGGAGAAGCCATGAAGGTATGAAAGTGATACTTGATATTAAGGCCAATTATGCAAGAAGAAGGAATTATATTGAAATAAATAAATAACTAGCATTGAAATATTAGTTGGAAATGTTAGTTGAGAAATGGATGAATTAGATCCTAAGAATTTGAATTATGAGGAATCGGTGATTATGAGCCGGGCTCAAGACCGATGTAGATGACGGTGATTATGAGCTGGGCTCTAGACCGTAGTAGATGACGGTGATTATGAGCTGGGCTCTAGACCGTAGTAGATGACGGTGATTATGAGCTGGGCTCTAGACCGTAGTAGATGACGGTGATTATGAGCTGGGCTCTAGACCGTAGTAGATAACGGTGATTATGAGCTGGGCTCTAGACCGTGATAAATAATGATGAATTGATATTAAATGAACGGATTAACTATAAGGTAATAATGCCCTAGTTGAGGGCCTCAGAGATTTAAACTTTGATTATACTTAGTATAGTTGTCATTGTACTTGTCAAATGCTTCCAAGTACTGACCTCCCCTTCACGGGGGAGGCCACCTCACAGTTTCAGGTAGAACTTGAAGGTTGCTACCGCCAGCCGCTGCTTCGGGAAGTTTCTGAGGAGAAGACTTGGTTCGTGCTTCTCCCGTTCTTGTTTTGAAAAACAATATGAATAATGCTCATGGACAATATTTTCTGAATAATTACTTTGGGGGCTTGCATGCCTAATTATGCCAAGTGTGGCTTGAACACTTGTATCAATTGTTTCCGCTGCTTTAATAAATGTTTTACATTATGTTTGTTTATGGATGTACTATGTGTGAATGGTATTCAAGACGCCTTGTATAGTATGGATGAGTCGGACTGCGGTTGATTATTCGTACTGTACGGCGGGTTGTTGACGTGTCCGGGTAGGTCCGGGGCGTGACATTTGACTTTTGGGAAATTAATGAATGCGAAAATAAGGCTAAATTAAAGGTTCCTTCTAATCAATGACAGAAGGGAACATGGATCGATTCTAAGTGTAATCAGATTTCGGGACTGATCAGGCATAATTAAGCCTATAATGCAAATTCTCTAATTAAGCTTGGCTGACACGCACAACGTGCCTGCCTTGTTTCTGTAACCCGGCCTCCTGGGCAGTCTACCACGCACGCACGACGTGCCCAGATCCTGTGCACGGCCATGCGTGCCTCAAACATCATCTTTTTCATCTCTTTCTTGCTCCAAACGCTCCCTAATGCTTCCGTGATCGATCCGAAGGCTCTTTCTTCAACAATTCTTCATCGTGAATCTCCCGGTGACCTCCAAAGCTCTTAAATCCTTCTTGAATGCTTCTCAACTCGTCCCGATTGCTTCTCGAGCGCCGATGTCGGGCTCAAACTCTCTGATTTTAACTACAAAAATACCAAAACTCGAACCGATGCCCGGTAAACATGACTTGAGCTAAAATTGAGACTCATGATCTTTAAAGTTAGGAAAACTCATTAAAAGCCGATCTCAACACGCATCAAATGCATGTCGAAATACGGACTTATCAGTGGACTGGTGGTCATTTGAGTTTAAGAATTTTGGAAAAATTCCCACTTAAGTGTAGGATTGTAAACGAATCAAATAATTTGTGCTCGATTCGTGATTCGAATTCGTATAAGACGATTCGAATTCGGAAAATTCAAATACAAATACAAATAAGAATATTAAATTTGATTCGAGTTGTTATCAAATACAAATAAGAATATCAGTGTATTCGATTCGAATATTAATCAAATATATTCGATTAATAATAATGGTAATATTAATATCAATATTAATAATGATAGTAATAACACTATAATAATTTTTAAAAGATAGCAATACCCTCAAAGTGTAGCCCATATATACACTTTTTCATACAAATTTCAAGCCCATTTGTAATAAATCAGAATATAAATACGAATACAAATCAATTTTTTTATTCAAATGTCTTTCAAATACAATACAAATAATTATGTATTCAATTTGAAGAATAAAATTAAGAGTTGTTTGACTTTGATATATACAATTATCAACTTATTTCACATATTATAAGTATAATTTCTAATATATGTGTGCTAATGTTTATTTCAAAAAGTTTAATTGAAATAGAGTTATATTTATTAATCATAAAATTAATTCACTTTAGTATATTTTGTACCATCTAAAAATGCATTGATCCATTAAATTCAAATTCTAAAAACATATATTAAGTCATAGCACGCATTTACAACATAAAAAATACGGAGTATAAGAAAAGTTATTTTAAAGTGATATTTGACTAATATTTAACTTATGCTCAAATCGATTCGATATTCGTATATGATTCGTTAACTATTCGTATTATTAAACAAATACAAATTGAAATTAATATTCGTTTCATATTTGAATTCGAATTCGTATTCAAAAAAAATAAACAAATACAAAATCTCATTATTCGACTCGATTCGGTTCGTTTACAACCTTACTTAGGTGGGATGTTATGGGCTATTTGGTGCTTAGAAGCTTCTATTTGAAGGAAGTTGTTCTTGGTGATAGAGGTGTTGGATCGGAATAGTAGGTCGTTCTGGACTAAAAAGTTTCATGGGTTGAGGAACTGTTGAAGTCCTACTTCACTTGAGGTTGAAGCTCGCCGGAAATCTCCACTTTCATCATCTCTAACGGCTGGTAACTATTGCTACGGCCTTGACGAGGGGGCCGTATGGATGGTGAACAGGTTGGTGTTTGACGGAATTGGAGGTAGAAGGTGACTGGAGGCTGTTGGTTTTGACTACATCCATCGGTTTCTTTAGACTACGTGAGATGATAGTACAACATCACACGGTTGTTTGTCTCTCCTTCTTTCAGGCTCCCTACTCATCATTATCAGCCTAGTTACATGACTTTGCACTTGACAGTAAGTGTGCTAGTAACTACTAAAGTAATTCATGTTCTTTATTTAACATTTTTTTATTTGAAAGCAATTATAATTCATGTTGCACATTTCAGACACAGGCTTTGAAGCGTATACATGAGCGAGCGACTCATAAAGTGAGTGAGACGCATGATGTGGAAATGTATGATCAGGTTTTGACGGGCATTGCTTCGTTGTGTTCATATGTGTTGGGCTGAGTGGACTATGGCATCTTATACATATGACCTCCTCTCAGGATTCTGTGGCATCTACATCTACCGCACCAACAACTTCTACATCTCAGAGTCGGCATGACACAGTTGTTCTTTAGCCACGTCAGCGGCGTAGGCGTATGTGTCAACAACCACATCTCTATGATCAAGACGATCAAGAAGACCATAAAAACTGGTAGTCTGTCTCCATTATTGGACTTATTCATGTACCCCGAATGTTGTAAAAGTTTTTTGAATATGTGAAACACTTTATTTTTTGACGTATGTCCACCTACAAACTATTGGATATTATGTTATTAGTTACTTAATCATTTGTTTATGATTTAATGATGTGTTGAGTTATGTATATTGGATGTTTGTACTGTGTTTTTATACTGTGTTTTTTACTAGGTGTATTGTCGTGTTTCTGTCAAATTCTGTTTTGTTTTTATCTGTTTTTTTATGTTTCCGTTTTTTGCAGGTGCATGGGCAAAGTCGCCAAACCGTTTGGCGACTTTGCCCAACCCGAGTTAAGTCCAACAGTATATCCGTAAATACTTTTAACCCAACAGCAATTACGTAAATATTTATTAAAATCACATTAATTCGGAAAAAAACCATACGTTAACTGAACTCATTTCCATTTATACAAAAATCTACATATGTATTTCAATTGAACTCATTTCCATTCATACTTTATGTTAACTGAACTCATTTCCATTCATACAAAAGTATACATATGTATTTCAATTGAAAGAAGTCATTAGTTCAAAAACCAACCACTCTAACAAATAAATACTCCCTCCGTCCCGAAATAAATGTCCTGCTTTTTCAAAATGGATGTCCCAAAATAATTGTTCTACTTTGAAACTTTTCTTATTTGGTAAACAAATTTATACAAAACAGCGTCAAACAGTGCAAAACAGTGTCAAACAGTGTCGCTACAGTGCCAAAGAGTGTCGCTACAGTGCCAAACAGTGTCGCTACAGTGCCAAACAGTGTCGCTACAGTGCCAAACAGTTTTGTTACGGTGTGAAGTCAACTTCAATTTTTTAATCTTTGTGAGAGTCAAAGTAGGACATTTATTTCGGGACGAAGGGAGTACAAAATTTGTAGTTTTGCTTATAGTCCATGTATTTTTAAAACTCAATCATTTTAAAAGAATCCTCCAAAATTTATAAGAGCATGTGATCGTCTAACTTAATACGAGTTGAGGAAGATTTGGGATTAATGATAAAAGAAAACGATTTTTTCCTCAAAAAATCCAATCTATCTAATGCTCCACATTATACGAAAAATTTGGATATAGCTTATTCAGTTTTTGAAGTCTTTGAGGTCCGCTAACAAAACTGTAGTATTAACAATAGGGTTTCCTTAACAATATTGTTATACAGTTATCAGCACTGCTTTTGTGTATTCCCCCATGTTCTTTGAAAACATGATCTATCTCATACTGCACATGAGTATGACATTATTCATTTCCAACAATATTCACGAGTCAGTCAACTTATTTAACATCCTACTAACTAAAAAAGTACCTCATCAATCACCAGCTTAGTATCAATTCTGAGGGTTTATTCCAACTCATAAGCCAACAGCTTATCTTCAATAATCAGTTCCTGCTCAGAACCGACAGAACATAAAAATTACTAAAGACAAAAAATTGATTAAATCAAGCGTGTGTTGACAATCTAAAAGTACAGCTTCCATTTTACAAACATTTGCAGCATATTCATATCCTTTAAGCCCAACACGAACTTTGCTTTGTCGAAACGAAAACACAAGAAACTAAAAATTAGAACTGCAATTCTAGGAGACACAAACTTCATAATGGGTGTTGAGGTTGTATTTTGGTAAAAAACTAATCCTACTTATACAAATAACCCATGCATCATAGGTTTCAAAGATACATCTACTACAGTCTAAGATTAACAGAAACAACATCCCTCTACTTGCACTATTCTCTGCCATATGCAAACTTGTCAAAACAGGGAGAACCTTCCAAACAGAGCATTACTTTGAGTATTAGCAACCTATTGATTAAGAATTTCTTAAAGCCTGCAAACTAATCATTAAAGCCCTCTGGTGGCCACCACCTAGGCTTAGGGAAATCCCAACCTCGACTGATGGCAGTCTCCAATAAACTGGCACCATTACCCCCTCTATCCTCACCGCCTACCTTCTCTAATAGCATCTCCAAAACCTCCATAAGGTCTTTGGGAGATGATGATGGTTCATTCATCGAATTTCCTCTAACTGTTTCCTCTCCCAATCTTACAAACTTTTCTCCACCCTTTACTGAAAATGGAAGTTTACGCCCTCCCTCTATGCTGCATTTCACTTTTCCCTTCTCAACTTTATCATGCGTGTCACCATTTCTGGCTTCTTTATGCACTAAACCAGCATCAACAGTATCATCATCCCGGACTTCCGCTTCTTTTGGTTGTGTTTCACCTACAGACAGTGTTGAACTCCCAACCCCCAAATAATCTCCTGAAACCCTAAATCTCTTAGAGGGATATTCATCATTATCTCCATCTTCAAAATTAGACAAACGGAACCTACTTTTGTAACTCCTCTTAGCACTCTGAAAACCCTTTGGGGCGTATAGCTCGCAGTTAACTTCAAGGGGCTCCAAGAATCCAAGGTCATCACTTTCCTTCCCTAAATCAACAGTTGGCTGATGTTCGATAACTTCTTCGTCGGAGACAGAGGCGCGCTTATCCCAAGAAGAGTCCAATTGGGAGCAGAGAGCTGCGGAAGCTGTCGGCGGTCTGAGCTCTTCGGATCCGAAGAGATAGGGCTGGGAGATAGAATTGGACTGCTCCGAAAGAGTTCCGAACTCTTCGTTTTCCGAAAAGGGTCTTTCTTCATCTGAACCGTTTTCGGGAAGCGAGATCATGGTGATTGGGGTGAGTTCCGGAGAAGTCGGCGCCGGAGATGATGAATTCGAGCCGGATAGCCCTGGGAACACCTCGGATTGTCGGGCGAAAGAGCATGTCCGTAGCTTCTCCTCCTGGCTGGGCGTCGGTATGCAGTGATTGATGAGGAAAGCAAATCGGTCTTGCATTTTCTGCGAGCATACGAAGTAAGATCCTAGATTGAATGGCATCCATTTATTCGCTCTGGAAATCATTCCCGACTCGTTTTGAGACCAGTATAGTATCAGAATTCATGGTTTAACAAAGCGGAAGATGAGTGCCTAGAAAGGAAGAACGATGTCGTATTATGGGTGTGGACACTAGCGAAACCGGACAGGATTCCGGCCAGTGGCTGGGTCAAGTGCCGATGACATTTAAATATGAGGAATGATCTTTTTTTCCAAAAGTTGAATCTTCGATAACAAGATTGTTAATCATACCAAGGGTATGTTTGGTATTACCAGGCGAAAAGGTACGTTTGTCAGTTTTTTAGTAACAGTTAGCTTTAAATGTCCGAAAAGATCTTAAAAAGAAAAGGTAATAGTTGTTTGGTAAAAAACCGACTGTTTGATTTATATTTGATATACAAGTACTTAGGACAAATTAATACTAAAAGTCACGATCTTTTATCAGATGTTACTTCTCGTAGCATCTCAAAAAAATCTTTTATTTTTTGAAAAGCTTTTAAAATCTTCCATCCCAAATATACACTAACTCGATTAAACACAAAAATTGAACCACTGCCCTTGCGAATAATGAGCCCATTACTTTGAGCCTCGCGTATTGGTAATGACGTTTATGATTTTGCATTTAATATAGCTGATATTTTCATTCTATTTTTATCTATTATTAATCCGATGCTGAAAAAGGATTTTCGTTCTTTCATTATGCAAATAAGGATTTCCTCACAACAATAAATCAAATCAACAAATTTGATTGGACAACTCACGTCATGGGGCAAATTATTGTTAGTTTTTATTGCATTTATTTAGTATTTTAGTTTCATTATGTTTCTATTTGTCGATGAATTTGCAAATTTAGTTCTTTTATTTTTTATTCATGTTTCCTGTGGATTTCCTTAAAATTTAACATTAGGGTACACAAGTGGTTTGTTAATAATTTACAAATTTTGACTTTTATTGTTTATTCATGTTTCATGTGGATTTCCTTAAAGTTTAACATCAGGGGATTCAGGGGTACATATGTGGTTTTTATTTCAAAGCAACAAAAGCGAATAGAAGCCTACATAAACAACAAAAATAAATAAATCTACGATCAACAAATAAATAAACAATGGGAAACACAAAAAAGTACGATAAAACAAAAGGCAACATAATACAACAAAAATCAACAAAAAAAAAGCTACACCACCCACCATGCAACAAAGAGCAACAAAAAGTCACATGAAAGTATCACAAAGCAATGAAAAAATATAAACCTACATAATAAAAAAAGTACAATAAACAATGTGATTTGATATTTTTTTAGTTCCAAAAATTAATTATTATCACTAACGCATATTATTGTTAGTTTTTATTGCACATTGTTTCATTATGTTTCTTTTTGTTGATAATTTGCAAATTTTGATTTTTTATTGTTTATTCATGTTTCATGTGGATTTCCTTATAAATTAACATCAAGGGTACATATGTGGTTTTTATTTCAAAGCAACAAAAATGAATAGAAGGCTACATAAACAACAAAAATAAATAAATCTGCAATCAACAAATAAATAAACAATGGGAAACAAAAAAAAGTACGATAAAACAAAAACAACATAATACAACAAAAAGCAAAAAAAAAAACTACATCACCCACCATGCAACAAAGAGCAACAAAAAGTCACATGAAAGTATCACAATGGATACATAATTTAATCTGTATTTCCACATTTAAGATGATCCTTATAACATGACATTACATAATATACCATTAAATTGAGTTTATAGTTCGTGGTAATATACATTTACATAGCCCCTAAGGGTGAACAAAAAAACGAAAAGTCAAAACTAACTTAGTGAGTGCTTCCATCCCAATAGAGCAAATATGCCATATTCACTTTGTGCTTCATAAATTCAACTTTGGGAGCTCTGTCTTTAATTTTGTAATGAAATCAAATTGAAGAGGTTTCATGCCTAAGTAACTGTCAAATAAATTTCAACCAGTAAATAACTCGCATCAATTACCAAATACAGTACTATCAACCACTCTACTAATTAATCCATATATCATCAAAATGGACTAGTCAATTAATGGAGGCAGAATCATATAAAGCTCCCCCATTCACATAAATGATCAATCAAATGTCTAAAAGCAATTGCCAGAAGGCTATTGTGTTGTTGATCATTCAACGTGAAAAGACACGCACAACACCCAACAAAACTTAAATGTCAACTTGACTGAGAATCGCATCGGCCAACTTACAGTGATTGCAACTCGTGTGACCAGCTCGATTCAATTTTCCACTATCCCCTCCGCTGCCATTGGTATGCTCCCCATTCAAGGAGTAATTTCAGGCCTGAAACTGGTAGGAAGTTCCAACCGGTGACCTAGGCAACCGTATGTGCCTTGCTTCAAATCGTACCCCATACTCATTAACGAAAACTTTGGTCATCGCACCAAAACCGTCCCCCGACCACCTTGTCCACTCTGTTTTGTAAAGTGAAAGCTCTCACCTGGACATCGATGGAAGATCCACTCTGTTATCTGCGTCGAAAACGCATAGAAGCCTACGCTCTCTCTATTCCCACCCTGAAGACCACCGGATTTATCACCTGGATGTCAGATGATGCTGGGATGAGGAATTCGAACAAAGTCCTATCGTCGATTCCCAATCCTGGCCACAAAATTGAACCCACTTCTTAGAGATGAGATTCGGAAATCGTCGTCTGCTCTCCAGGCCTGCCATCGACTCTCCTAATTGTTTCACCGATACAGTGATGAGAAACGACAATGAGGAATATAAGATGCCAACGACTATTCTACGGTTCTGCATGAGGCGGGCAGAAGTTAAAAGTGAAATAAAAAAAGTAAAGTGAAAATAAAAAAGTTAAATATGAAAACAAAAAGGAGTTGGGACATAAATGATAAGAGGATAAAAGTAAGAGACCACACGGGTAATTCCCACTAAAAGATGAAGAGGTCAAGTCTGAACGTTGGCCTTTAGTTATCAAATCTTGCTTTGCCCGATGTGTCAATCTTTAGTTTCAAGAAGAGCGCCGTTCACTAGAGAACATATTACTATATATATTATTTGGTCAACATAAATCACTTTTAATCTTTTACTTTGTATATAAAAAATTGTAAGATACATTTACTATTCACTTGATCAACATAAATCACTCCTAATCTTTTACTTTATATATAAAAAATTTATGAAATTTGAATTAATTTTTTCAAGTTTTGTAGCAGTTTTAATGTAGTTTATGAATATGTAAATTTTATTTTCTAAAACTAATTTGAGTGTTGACATAGATCAATTTGTTTTATCGTCGGTCAAACATCGTAAACGGTAAAATATCTTACAAATTGAGACGGAGTGAGTAAATAATTATCTGGGAAAAAGTACATTGAATTTAAATCAAATTGATAGATACATATTAGGATCACGATCAGGGACGAAACCAAAATACTGAGTCAGTATAAAGATTATATTTAAAAAAAAACCTTACACCATTTTTTTTAAATTTGGAATAGACTAGGTCTTAGGTTGCTCACCTAAATTTACCTCATGATCGTGACCTAGATATTTGTCGAGAGTAGAACGCGAAACATACCCGGTTATATCACTCCCTTCCAACCAACTAAGATACGGTCAATCAAACCAATATATCAACCTTTTGCCTTTCAAGATCTCCCCCATGTTATGGGCTTTGTTTCACATTTTTTATTCATAGCTGATGTTTCTAATTACTCTGAAATCTGAATATAACGGCTTGGGTACAACAATTAACGAATTGAATCTAACTTTATAATGGACCGCCGCGTACCACACCATGACTCGCTAGTACGCTACACAAGATTTGGCACTTCATCAAATTAAACTTACTTCACATCAGCAAATGATGATGATGTTACAACACTTAACCATATTTCTACATTTGATCCCCACCCAATAATACACCTAATTATAAACCATTTGTTGAGTAAGAACATTAATATAAAAACGTTAACATAAAATAGTTAGCTTAGTCACAACATGTGTCCACCTCTATGACTTGGGAAGAGGTTCCCCTCTCAAGAATGAGCTCAATAATTGCAAAGCCGCCATAGGCTTGAACAATGGAACTTCATGTCCAGCCCCTCGTACTGTTGCAAAGGTTAGCCCTTTGTAAACCTCAGTCCATCCTCCCACCTTTTTTCGGCCAAACCAAAAACATTGAGGAAAAAAATTCTGTTTAGTTACAAGGCGAGATTAGCGAGATTTCGTGATCAAAATAAAGTAGGTCAAAGTTATTTTTCTCTAGAATTTGTTGAAGTTACTTCAAATAACTAAAATAGTCATTTTCAACAAGTTGTTGAAGTTTCTCTTGAATTTTTCACATAATATACTTTGTAGTAGTTTAAGGGGGTGTTTGGAACTGATTCTAAACACCCCTTAGAATCACCCTCATCTTCTAAAAAATTGATTCTAGGAGTAAATTAGAGCACCAGAATCACTTCTGCACTTTCACCCAAACACTTCAACTAATGCTTCTGCTCCCTGAAGAAGCAGAAGCAATTTTAAGAATCTGATCCAAACAACCCATAAATATAATTTTTCAGAAATTCACCAACTTCACCAAATTCAACCTTCAATGTAACGGATTTAGTTGATTTTAGTGTTACAAAATGAACTCTGATTCAAGATGAAAGAGACTAACCTGTTTCTTGACATACCAAGGGTACCATGGAGTTGAGACGAGCAACTTGAGTTGTGCAAGCGAATAACGGGTAGCAGTTACGGGTACCACTGAATCCACATCACCGCTACAATTTTTTGCAATTTTTTATATGTTACCCGTATAATGATTATATATAAATGTAACACAATTGGAATTTAAAGTATAGCTAAGTATTATGATTTGTACCTGAAAACCCAGATTCTCAAGCCAGCTTCAACTAGTTCTCGATAGATCGGGAGGATGGAATCAGCAGTGTCATTCCAGTTCCGATTTAACGTTTCACTACAATTAGATGTGGTTTAATTACACTCAATTTGAGTCGCAATAATTTCAAATGCATCATGGACATGCATACATAATTACATACATGAATACTTTTTGGAATCTTATCAACTTGAGACTTGAATTAATAAAATTCCTACTTATATTCAAATTTTGATAGTGTTCTATATTATTGTCCAGAATTCCTATGTTTTGGATCTCAAAGTACATCATATTATATTCAATGTCTAGCTCTTAAGAAGTTAATTCTCATAAGAGCTTTCTTCGTCTTTGAGAGTGAGGTGAGGAATTTTGAAACAGGTCAAGAGCAGGGGCATAACCGAGGCAATATACTTATATATATACTAGGCTAGACCAGTAGCAAAAGAGTAAATTGAAATTTTTTTACCCAAAATTTATGCACTAATGATATAAGATTTCTTTGATGGAGAGATTGTTTATTGACAAGATAAGTTTGTGGGACTCCTAATCTAGTATTGGTATGAAGAATCATGGAATATGTCATCGTGCTCACTATGGAGCTCGTTGGTTTGATATAAGGTCGAGATGGACTCATAAAAATGTGGGAAAGTTTAGACCATTTATCACACCAACATGCTATTTAGCGAACACGTTGACGTGCTTCATATATACTATGAGTACGTATTTTGTTGATTTGAGTGCCTTGAGTGAATGGAAGAATGGAAGATGAAAAGTCTCTTGAACTTTCTTTACAAAATCTGTTCACTTTAGTGCAATTTCCTGCGCTCATTATCATTTATTTTAATTTTAAAATTAACCTACAAATTAAAGGCAAAGTCTTTCCTTTGCATACTTAATTTACCCCCACCCCATTTTTGTATATCTCAAACCTATGTTGTACCAAGACATATAAAACATGGAAACGTATCTTTTAATCGATAAACAAGTGTTGAAAAGTTTGAGTAATTCTTTTGAATTACAATACATATTCTATCTCGAGAGTTTCCGTCTTTCATATTCTCTAAGAGGTTCTACATAGGATGTTTTTACTTGGACTGTAATTTGCTGGTCTAGTCTGGTCTGGTCTGGTCTGATCTGGTCTGATCTGGGACGAATTACAGTCCAAGTAAAAACATCCATAGAGTAATGGATGCATGTAATGTTAATTTACTTATGGTGAACTAACCTGCAAGCAGTCCATTTATATGGAATACGAGTGGTGTTGGCATGCATCGCTTTTTGGACCTCGGGACGGTTGTAGTAGATCTCTGCATACTTCTCAGTACACGGATCATAGCCTCTGTACCTTGCTGCGGCGGCGGGACGAGGTTGATGAGGAAGCCGCATGTGGTGTCGGCTCGACGACGAGCCATCAGAATGGTTACAAGGAGGAGCGTAGATGTTGTACTGGTCGATGTTTCCGAACTCCCGGTCCATGGCATAGTAGTAAAGAGATTCACACTCGTCAGATTCTTTGTGTCGCCGGAAATCACACGTGTTCACCAGCTGCCGGTAAGTCTTGTCAGAGATCATGGCATGGCTCCACCAGTACTCCACCGTACCTAAGTTGTCGTAGTAGTTGTCCGTAACTGCATTCCCCACCTACATGAATCCATGTCACATTCATATGTAGTGGACTATGAAGTATGAACTTAGTTATTTTTTGCGAGGAAATTGTCATAAATAGGAGTAGAAACATATTATATGAGAGTAGTGTTTTTCTTAAATAGATGTTGGTGAAAATGTGTCAGTTATAACATTAACATTGCCTTATAATTGTTTGATAATATCAAAATATGACACTTTAATTTTAGTATGACATAATTATATTCTTCCATTGGAAAACATAACTCCCTTTTTGGGCAAGTTGATGAATGCAGATATAATTACCATAAACCCTTTGATCTTAATGGGGGTTTTGGGATGGGCGATATTGTTATAATGCACAATCTCTCGAGCAAGTTGAGGAACATAGTGGCCGGCGTAGCTCTCTCCGGCCAGATAGACGTCCCGACCTTTGTACCACGGGAACCGATACATCCACTTTATGAGGAATTGCAACGAGTCCTTTGCTGATACAAATCAAAAAACAAATCAAATTCCATTTAACGTAGATTCTATGTTGCCCATAATGTATCGTACCTTTGTCCACATGAATCAATGAGAATGTTGCAGTTGAATTATTTGAATCTAAATTAAAAATGGTACAATGATGTAGACCAATCAAGTGAATAATACGTACGGTACCCCATTTTAAAATGGATACCAGAGTTGTCACCTCCATTTATTAGTCATTAATCATAATTACACATTTCTATAGCCCAATTTTGTACTCCGTATAAGACAAGCATTTCAACTAAATATACTCTGTCACTAAATTATCTAAACTTTTTTAGTTCATCTTAGGAAAAACATTATGCCGTTAGATTAGGTAATTAGATTCTCACTTCTTAATCATAATACCTTGAACTTGGACTAAAGATGTTTTTACTTGACTTCATTCATAGAACAGACCAAATCAGATCAAATAAGATCTCTACAGTTGTAAATTACAAAGATATCAGACATTTACCATACCATATCAGATCAACCTGAAAAATTTCAGTTCAATTAAGCTGTATACTTCGTATTACTTCTATTATAGGCAATCTTATGTATGCTTACAACAATTTGTATCACTTATTGATGACCATATAAAATTACTCCGTAGCAGAGCAAAGACACAAACAAAGGATATAAGAGTTTTTGCCATTTTCGATCCCTCGACTATTGGGTCAGTGACACTTTTGGTACTCGATTTTCAATTTTTCCACTTTTAATCCTTGACTTCAAAGTTTCCCACATTTAGTCCCCGACTATTATCACTTTGACACTTTTAGTCCTTCCACAATGATTTTGAGATAATAAGTGTAAGACTAAAAATGTCACTCCTATAATAGTTGAAGGATCAAAAGTATCACTTTTATGAAAGTCGAAGGCCTAAATGTGGAAATTTTCGAAGACGGGTACCAAAAGTATCTTTCACACAATAGTCGAAGGACTTAAAGTGGAAAAACTCAAAGTCGAGTACCAAAAGTGTCATTGACATAATAGTCCGAGGACTAAAAGTGGAAAAATATAATTACATCTTTTGTTTCGACCCCAAATTTCATTCGTATCAGAAGGCTGTGTAAGAAACCTGTGAACAGGTTATTCACACAAAAAAAGTAACATGCTCACAAACGTTTGTAAGAAATGTACAAAAAATGTGTACAAAATGGTCTTTTTCATATTAAATGTCGGAGAGGATCTACACACTAATGTAAATTAGGGCTTTAGTGAGCTGAAACCCAGAGCAAAGTTAATTTCTTTAATGTAAATTTTTTCACTTTTTCATATTTAACCTACACACTAATATTTAAGTTTAGTACAAGTACTTTTCAGTCCAACTCAATTCAGATTTCTAGAACTGTCCCCGACGTCTAGATGGCTGCTGGGGAGGTAGAAACACCATTATTTTAGTACCAAGAGTATCATATTATGAGTACACGTTTTGAAAAAATTAGAAATTGAAATGCTAATATAACCGTTTGAGGCTTGCACATATTCCGTATCATCTCACATCATAAAGGACAAATTGTAAGACAAATGAAATCCGGTGGGTGTAGCTCAACCGGTAGCAAGGAAGTGCCACAAGGGTTAGATTCCGGATCCGAATCCCAACAAGTTCGATGAGAAATTATTATGCTAGTACCAGCGACAAAGCTTCACTCTCTATCTGTCAGATTGTGATTATAGTTCAATTTACATCCTTTTAACGTACCGTCCGATCGTGATTGGGGACCCTCAGAGATGGGAAGTCATCCTTTTTTGTTAAGACAAATGAAGCAAGATTAGGTCTGATTTATAGGGTAGTGTTAGCATAGATAGCTTCTATATCCCCATGATTGACGGTGTGAGAGAAAGTCAACGGCCTAAGAGACACTAGCCGTTAAACATTACTCGTAGGACAACATCACAAGAATAATGGTCATAATTATTGCATGGTCAATTGGTCGTGTATAGAAACAGAACAAATCTAGGACCTACGACACAATTCAAAAAATTTAGACCTATTGTCCTATGGAATAACAGTTCTTCTAACGGACAAAACGTGAAGAATTACGATTTGAGGGGATTATTCACAAAACTAATGTTAATTGAATTGAATCTACCTCTCATTCTCTCAACAATTGATCGGGATACAAAGTAAATGTTTGAACTTTTTACATTAAAAATTGATCCCCTTCCTAGGTTTATTGAAGTTTATTGAAGTTTTTACTTGAATAGTACATTAGTACTACATTCACCCTATAAAATTTGGCCAATTTTTTTTATCGTCCTAAAAATCTATGTCTTTTTATTTAAAGTAAGAAATATGTGACTAAAATAATTTTTTTTGCTCTATACAAACATGGTCGGCTCTGACATTTCAAGGGCCTTGTTCAAAATTGAATATGAGGCCCTAAAGTATAAAACACTATTAATATTTCCATCATTTTAAAATAATAATCTTCCTAGGTTTTTGTGGTTTTTAAAAAGAAAATAGTAGGAGTACTATAAAGGTGTAAGGTAAATGAAAAAGTATGAAAGAGAATATATTAGAAAGAGTAAATTAAAGTAATGATAAAGTATGAAAGAGAAAGTAGTATGCAAGCTCGTACCAAATTATACGAGGACTTTGTGCTAATTACTGTAACCAAGTCTTATGTAAAAGAGATTGCACAATTGTAATTAACAATTACATTTTAATTGCATATAAATATTATTATTTAATGTTTGTTTTATAAACATAATAAGATAGAAATCTTTATTCAAATAAATAAGGATTTTGTATACAAGTATTATGTGGAATTGTAGATTATATTTAAAATTTTGGGCCTTCTGAATCAAGAGGCCTTGTGCGGTAAGACTTCTTGCACGCCCTCATCTACGGCTCTGTATACAAATCTCAACCACACAGATTTTACTTTATTATTTTATGTGTAAGTCAACTTTGGTCAACTTTTATGGGACGAAGAGAGTTCTACATAATTCGTGATTTATTTTTAAATAATTGCTTAAACAATTAACATACCGACTACAGGTTATTTGAATTCAAAAATTATATTGTCAAATTTATCAAAGTAAAATTCCAAAATATGTCAACTTTGCATAGCCATCAATTATATAAACTTATAAAGTAATGATCGAAATCATATGTTAGAAAGCGTGAAATTTTAAAAGTTGCAACTAAATAAAAATAATAAATAAGTAAATAAATAAATAAATAAATAAGATTGAGGTAACAGAATTTTACGTAGCATTAAAAAAATGTGGCTGGAACAAATATTGATATACTCTCTGAAATGTACCTAATACGAAGTATTAAACAAAACCATGTTCTCTAAATTTACAATATGGTTTCACAGAAAGTCATTTATATACTTGAACATCATCTAATTATAATCATATAATGGTCATTATATTAAAAACATTTAAGGATTATTTGGTAATTTGAACAAGCTAAACTCAAATGCAATAAAACCTCACAACATAAATTAACTTTAGTTTTTATTTTACACATATAAATTTACTTAATTAGTCAGCCATTAGCTGTGTTTTGCACAATTACACCCATTAGTCATTAATAACAAACATCGATAGTTGAGAGAAGAAATACCAGTGCGAGAATCGCCGGTTTCAAGAAGGTCGGCCGTCCGGTTGGTGTAGGAGAAGCCGACGCCGGCCGGAGTTTCAAGAAATAGTAAATTGGCCATTCGATTCCAAGAGAATTTGTTGAGGTAAAGCCCTGAAGCTGATTTGTTTATCCTAAACGGTCCGATTTCTTCTGATGCCCCGTAGGCCACAGACGAGCAACCTGGACCTGTTTTTTTTAAAAAAAAATTAATTGTTGGTGGAAAAAACAAAATAACGTTTTAAAAATACGAAGTACGATGTACGAAGAGTGTAACAAGATTCTGTGCCAAAACAGGTCCCACACGTAAACAGAATATCTGATCGTAATCAGACGGCTGAGATCAGCTCTCATCGTTCGAATCTTTCAAGATCTTAACCGAGAATCTCATTTCCATCCTACCACGTCATTTTTAATTTAGAGGCCGCAACACTAGTTTTCGGCTTATCAAGCTTATCAGCCAACTTTTTCATCAAACACGTAACTTTTGCTTTCACGCGTTTAATTGTGTAATAAGCAGAAAAAGTAAGGTTGAAGTTACTTTTCTGGCTGAAGTTACTGTAGATAATAATTTTAGCTATTTTTACATGTAAATTTTTCTTTATTTTATTATTAAAATATATTTTAAAAATAATTTTTTTCTTAAATCAACCGAATCAACCAATGCAACTAGAACTTCATAAATTTCAGCTATGAATCTACCAATTTCATTCGTTGAGAAGATGTGTCATTCCAAAATATTGTCCCTATATTTTGCCTCAAATTAAAAAGATATTCCATTCGATCGTTCCACAAAATTTTGCCAATTTTTTTTACATATTTGTTTATGCTTGAGAGTATAGAGTGGAGAACTAAAATAAAATTTGCATTGTACTTTTTTTATGTACCGTGGATTAATTATGTTTAATGCAGTTCAATACAGGCATTCTATGAATGATTCTATCGTACCCATAAGGTACCATATTTTTATCCACATGGACCAATGAGAATGGTGCAGTTGAATTATTTAAATCTGAGAATCCCTTTTTTAACACGAAAATCCGCTAATTTTGTATAAAATTTTTACTATTAAGAGATTGCATTGACTCATTAACATAAAAAGAGAAGTACGTTGTAAAAATCGGCTGAATCAGCTGATTTTGCTGAAATGTATGAAATTCTGACGAAAGTGATTGCATTGACTCATTATGTTGATTTATAAATAAATTATATTTAAAATATATTTTTCAATAAAATAAAGAAAAAATTATATGAAAAATAGTTAAAATGATCATCTACGGTAATCATAAAAAAAAATGATCAGCTGTACTTGTTTTGTTATTACACAATTCAACACGTTAAATCAAAAGTTACATATTTAGTTAAAAAGTTTATGGATGAGCCGAAAATTAGAGTCAGTCAATGATCTCTCAATTAATAATCCACGGACGAAAAGTTAAATGAAATAATGAATGCTTTAGACCAACTACTGTTATTATATACGGAGTAAAAGAAAGTCAAACTTGGTTCATTTGATGCTTGAATGGGCAAGAGTAGCCATTCATTGCAGCAAGCTAACTGTCATTGGGGCGATATGGAACTACTTAAATGAGAGGGGTACAGTGAAGTATGAAGTCGGTCCAAGGCATTCATTACTAAACAAAAAACAAATACGTTTTGTCTGGGACAGACATAAAAAACATCTCACAGATATTACTATCTAAGGGTGTGTGTCAATAAATTTTTTCTTTTATGTGACACATAAAATAAAAAGGAGACTTATACGTGGTACTCCCTCCGTCCCATATTTAACTCCGGTTTTGACCGGACACGGATTTTAAGATAGTGGGATTTGTGTGGTGGAGAGTTATGCAGAGAAGAGAGAAATGTGTAAGAATGGTTGTGAAACACATATTCTTTACCAAAAAGGGAAAAAAGAGATAAATTTGGAACGGACCGAAAAGGAAAGAATGAAGATAATTCAGAAAGGGAGGGAGTAACTTTTTACAACGTACTTCTCTTTTTGACATCTTTTCAAAAAGTTTTCTTCGATGTGATCTTTTTCCCGTTGAATTATAATCGATCCCCTTTAAGAAAAGTAAACGAATTAGCCCAAACAAACTTTGGTGTTATTACGAGTGTTCAAACAAGAATCAGTTTTAAGATGGTGACTTTGCAAAGCTTTTCAAAATCTACTTCTAAGACTAATTTCCGGTATTTAAAAATACTCTTGCACTTCCATCCAAACATCCCTTAAAAGAGGGAAAAAAAGTTTTAAGAAATAGATCCAAACATTGTTATAAAGTTCAGAGATTTAACGGTTAGCTGTTAAGAAATTGCAGATTATGTTAGCGAGTTGTTAATAACGGATTCAGACATTCAGTTAGCGGTTTTGAGTAGCAAAATTAGTTGACGGATTGTTAGAAGATGGTTGGTAATTTAGCTGTTTAGTCATAACAATTATTAAAAAATAACATATCTCAAAACGCTAACCCAAAACACTCATATTTGCAGCACTTTCATTTTAGCAGTTTCGTCCTAAAATGCTAGGGTCGAACATTTGTTTAACAAACAACGTTTTCACTTATTAAAAAACACAAAAAGAGGTCGAACCACCATCTTTGGACGAAATGTCATTTTCCAAACACCCCCATAAACATTTTTTAAGAAAAACTGATAGAATCATATCACTACAAAGTTTTACACACTAATATATACCGTAGTAATTATGTTGCATTATCCCTTGATTATTTGAAACCACAACAAACTTCTTTTTTATGATAAATCATGCACAAAACACTCTAAGACAAATGAATTTCACAATTTAAAAATTACATGTTGTAATGTTATGATTGTAAATATATTAATAATATTCTAAATTATACAAATATGTACTAATAACCTTTTTACTTTGAGAAATCAAATGTGTTGTGATGCTTTTTTATATTACAAGGGTCTAACGATGAAAATTTATATGGAGTGTAATACTAAGGGGATTTTGGGCATTATTAAACTCAATGATTATATTTAATTTAAGAATAAAAACATGACTAATGTGATTATGTGAGTAGTGGAAGTCATTGAAATTGAATTGACCCATAGGCAGTTAGGTGAGGAGTCATGAGACTGCTTTTACAGGAAAGTTCAGCTACCTACTCACTGTCCTACCCCCCCCCCCCCCCCCCCCCCCCACATCCTCATGTGCAATATCATAATACCAACAATTATTGTTGTTTTTATTACTCTTAAACAAATAACAGACCTTAATTCACATCAATAAGACACTGCACATTTTCATACCCCTTTCATTCTGGTTTGTTTGATCAGTTATTCAATTTTGGATGCATTATATTCATTCCTTAATTTGTTCTAACAGATGAAACTCATACGGGGGGGGGGGGGGGGACTTATTAAATGCATTTTTTAGTAGACTACAAAAATGCTTCAATAATCCTTTCCATTTTAAGTCCATTTCAAAATATTTGTTTAACGTGTAGTACATACATGCGCTTTTACGGAAAGAAAAAAGACTACACCTTGCGTTACAGAGAGCAGACAGCAAATCAAAATTAAAAACGTTAAAAATTGGAAGTCATGCAAACTAAAAAAAAAACATTTTTGTTCAATTATTTGTTCCTGATATTTAAACAAAAAAAACATGTGTTTTAATCCTTTGAATAATGTCTTCTAAATGTGTAACGTAGTAACAAACTCATTTAAGTTACAAGTAATTTGCAAAACTAAGAAAATATATTTGCAAAAGACAGTGTTTGAGAAAAGGAGTAAAATAAAGAACTAAATTTAGAGTATAATCTTGTTTTTCTACTTATCAACCAAGTTTTTTATCAAACAGGTGTCTTTTGATTTGAGATTGTAAATTGTGTAATACTACCTCCGTCCCGCTGTTATTGTCCCATTTCGGTTTACGATGCTTGACTGACGATAAAGCAAACAGATCCCTGTCCGCACTAGAATTATTTTTAGAAAAAAAAATTTGCATATTCAGAAACTACATTAAAAATTTTAAAAAGTCGCAAAAACCAGAATCAAATTCGATAAAAATTCGATAAATAAAGTAAGAGATTAAGAGTGATTTGTATTGACCAAGTGAATAGGAAATGGGACAATAATAGGGGGACGGAGGGAGTAATAAGAAAAAGGTAAATTGTACCTAGTAGTTAGTTTTACATATATTTTTTTTTATTTTGTTAATAAATACGTAGTATATTTTATTTTTTGTACATTACTAGAATCAATCAATTCAATCACTTCGGTCAGAATCAGAAACTCGTAAATTTCAACAAAATCAATCAATAAAATCGATTTGAATATCACCATATCAGTTAGAGTCTTATATATGCACGATATATGGAGATAAAAATGTGATTTTTCGTTACTCCATAAATAAGTTTACACATTTCCATTTTGACCCTGCATTATGAGAAACAGAGCAATTCAATGGAACAGTCAGAGAAGGAATTTGTGAGCTGACCTCCATTGAGCCAAACGAGGAGAGGTCTGGAGCCTGGGCGAGTCTGGGCCTCAGTCAGCCAGTAAAAGAGGGCCCGGCCGGCGGTTTCCTCGACGGTGACGTAGCCGGAGTACTGGGCAAAGGAGACCTCTGGCTGTCCGGGAAGGGAGACTATACGGTCGCCGGCGGCGGCGGCTCCTCCTACCGGAGAAGTGGCAGAAGCAGCGGTGATAAAGCCTGCTACGATGAGGAGGAGATTAGTGACAGAAGAAAGAAGAGGGCTTGATTTGGCCGCCATGGTTTTTGGCCTTTCTTGATCGATCCCTCAACTCCCTAGTTGTCTGTGAAGTGAGTGAAATGTGTGTATATATACGAGGAGGATGGAGGTGATGTGTGGCTTATCATGTTTAGATGGGAGAGACATATTTGCCTGTTAAATGATTTTTTATAGATTGGGTTTCATTATTACAATGTATAATCACACGGCAAAAAATTTGAATTTGGGAACAAAATCATTATAAAATTAGGCATCAAGTTTTACTTATGATAAAAAAGTTACGGAGTATTACCGAACAGTGTCTAGCTTACCGTATAAGGCAAATAAGGTATGGACTGTGGTCCTGTAACTTTTATTTGACACGTTTTCCTTTTTTTTGAAGTTTCAAAATGAATCACACATTTCCTTATTTTCTTACTCCCTCCATCCCAATTTGATTTGCAAAATTTCCTATTTTGTTTGTCCCAAAATGGTTTTCCACTTTCTATTTTAGATATGTAAATAAGAATAAAGTGACAAATTTACCCTTACTTTTACTTTTTCCTCATTAACCTAAAGACATCTACTTTTAGAAAGATGGGCAAAAGTGTAATAAGCAAGCATCATTTATTGTCATTCCTTAATCCTTGTACCGGTCAAAGTTTGCAATTCAATTCGGGACGGAGGGAGTATTTGGTAAACAAATCTTTATCAGAACAGTGTCAAAAAGTATCAACAGTGTAATCTACAGTAAAATTTATCACTCATTAACATTTTTTCCTTAATCCTTGACAAGTCAAACTATGTCAAACAAATACAAACAGAGGTAGTAGTATTTTATTGAGCATAATATAATGGGAGACATCTATTATGTCAAAGAGAAAATATTATTTCATGACATTTTTCAGATATGTAAGTATAAAAAATTTGTTTCCTAACAATAAAATTAATTTACGATGAAATTATGATTGAAGTGACAAAATGTACTGAATTATGTTTTTTTAAAATTATAAAAATTATATTTAAAAATTATTTTATTCGTAATATTAATATATATATATATATAATTTTTAAATATATATATATATATATATATATATATAATATTGTGATTGAATTGACTCGATCTAGTTAAACATGATGCTCTACAATAAATTCACAATTCATTTAGAAAAATAACTCTACTCTTTTTTTTATTACGCAATTCAACAACAAAATAAAAAAGTTACGTGTTTCATAAAATTGTTGTCTTATAAGTTGAATTTAGGTGTTATCAAACTAAATCCTAATGTGAATTAAAAACGAATAATCCGTATAAACTTTGTATAATAAATCAAAAAATTTTAAAAAATACAATTTCAATTTGTAACTCTTTTTACTAACGAGGATTAAGTAAAATGAATCCCAAGTCCTTCATTTCCGCACCATTTTCCCCATTTCGTGAATTAGGAGACACTAGTAGTCATGTTTAAATGTTTCTAATAAAATAATTACCAATTATGGTCACATAGTTGTTGGACAGAATGTTGGTAAACGACTTTTAAACCAAAAAATAACGGTTTGACCATTTTTAGCGTTCTTATAAGTGAAAAGGTTGTTTGGTAAATAACTGTTCGGCACTATCGTTGTTGGATAAAAACGCTGAAATGAAAACACTACTAGTATGAGAGTTTTGGATTGACGTTTTGAAAATTGTCATTTTCTACTAATTTTATGGCTAAACAGCTAAATTATCAAACATCTTCTGACAACCAGCCAATTTATTCCGTTAGTCAAGCCCGCTATCCGCTAACCGTTGAGAGTCAAACACGCCCTTTATCTCACAATTTCTATGCATAGAACCCACGTATTTACTAATTTTGATTCATTTTTATATTACTTTTCACCCAGTTTTCATATATTTTTCCTTCTCGAATCTCATGTAAGATTTATTTGTGAATCTTGTCAAGTTGTCATACATCTAGATCTACATTTTATCTCTATTCTCTCTTCTTTTTCATTTTTTCCTACACCACTTCATTTATATTAAATTAAAATATTCATTTTATCTCTATCTCTCCGTTATGTCACATCATTATAATAATCCATCGTCCCATTGGTGATGCCCTTAGCGAGCGCGTAGAGGTAAGTTTGCTTTATGGGGTAAAGATGAACCTAAAATTAAAAAACATTTACAGGCATTAAAAAACATTAAACCCATTGGTGATGCCCTTAGCGAGCGCGTAGAGGTAAGTATATACTAATTGTCTGACTTCATTTACAACATATTAAATAAGAGGTAAAGATGAACCTAAAATTAAAAAAACATTTTCGATTTCACTTCGAATTCATGTAGTATTTGATCTAATCATACCTTGTTGTATTTCGTTCCGTTTCAAGCGTTTTCTATCTCGTTATAAAGATCATATCGAGTTCTAAAATTCCTATTCAGGCATCAGTTTCAAAATATTATGGGATAATTACTTAATGAAATGAATTTCGAATCCAGGACTATATTTACGCTTAATATGCTCTATTTATTCCGAAAACGCTTAATTACAGAGAACGGACTGAGTATTTGATTTGATCATATCTCACTATATGTTCTTCCATTTCGATTGTTTTATATGTGGTTGGAAAGATCATATTGTGTTCTAGAACCAGTGTTCTGACTTCACTTGCAATTTTGTGGATTAAGTAAAAGGCACAGGTTAATCTGAAATTTACAAACATTTCTGATTTCACTCCGAACTCGTGTAATATTTGACTTGATCATATCTTGTTGTAATTCATTTCGTTTCAAGCGTTTTCTATCTCGTTGGAAAAATCTTATCGAGTTCTAAAAATTGTATTCAGGCATCGATTTCAAAATACTATGGGATGGTTACTGATGGATAGTGTACTCGGGGGTATCTATCCAGGGGGTTATTGCGGGAATAACTAGAGATAAGTTAGAGCAAAAATAAATAAGAGAGAGTGTATATTCAATATGAATTTTTGCGTGTCTTACAGTGGGGAAAAGGGGTTGCTATTTATAGTAGTAATAAATGTCAGACAGGGACACGTGTCAAGTATCCGATGGCCGAAGGTCATTTCAATCGGGATGGCACCGGCATTTACATGTGGCCGCTTTAAATGCGGTGGTTGGATGTGACGTTGTACTTGGTACAGTGATTCAGGTGTACGCGGGGAGGATATTCTGTCGAGGAGGATGCCTTTGGCTGTAGATGACAAACCGAAGGCTCATCGTACCGGGGCCCCCTAATGCCGAGGGCTCCAAGTGTCGAAGGCACGATTTTCAAGCATTGTTTATCCTGTGATGTTTCTGAGTTTGATTCTGTCAACGGTAGCCTTTGGCCATGGGGCCGAAGGCATCCCTTTGCGTGTCGTGGGTTGCTTAGAGTTTCCTTTGCTGGGCTTGGCCCGTTTGGGACTGATTGCAGTAGTGGAAGTACGTGGGCCGGGGTCCCCGAGCCATATACTCTATCAGTTACCTAATGAACTGATTTCAAATCCAAGTCTGTATTTAAATTCATTTGTAGTTGCAATATTAATAGATTTTGCACTGTTTACATATTATATTCTACCTTGAGTGTATTTTACTTATGGATACATTATAAATTAAAATTTTGCAATATTTTATAAAATTCTTCTCATTTTGAATTTTTAAAAATTGAATTTTTACTAATAAAAAATGAAAAATGTTAATAGTAAAACAGGTGCGTGGACAAAACTGAAAAATGAAACGTTACAATTAAAAGAGAACATAGATAGTATTTCCGATATATTTGTGTTTCAATACTACACATGTACTCCTCTTTGTACCCTACTTTTTAATCTAATAAAACATGTCAAATGTTCCCGACGTTAGTCTCACTGATTTTGGTGGTTTTCCTTCCTGATTAAAAATAAAATACTACATATGTACTAATGTCTGCCGAAGTTCTTATTTTATTTATATACTCCCTCCGTTTTTAAAAGTTGACTGCAATAGGTTTGAACACACTTTTTAATTAAGGATGATATAGTAAGAAGGTGGAAAAGTATAGAAGATAAAATAAAAAGTAAAAAAAGTAAGTAAAATTGAATATTTTTAAAGAAAAAATTATCAAAAAGAGAAATTGTAGCGAAGTTTTAAATATATTCAAAAAAATGCAGCAAACAAATGTACTTCCTCTGGTTCTGAAAGATCTTTGCACTTTCCATTATTAACAGTACCAGAAAGATCTTTACACTTCCTTATTTGCCTTATTTGACAAATAAATCTACACAAAACAGTGTCAAACAATGTCAGTGTCAAAAAGTGTACTCTACAGTAAAGTCAAATTTATTTTCTTAAAAACTGTGAAGTCAAAATGTCAAGATCTTTTGGAATCGGATGGAGTATATTTTTTCTTTGTGGTTGGAGACGGATCCAGGCCCTTTTTAGTTCCCCCTTCCTCCATAGTTCCTCCGCCCCACCACCAAAGCCTTCCACCGTGGTCTCCGGTCTCCCAAATAGTCAACAAAACCTTGTCGCCGCCATCAACCTGTTATGAACATATAGAATTGGATGTCTTGAGTTATGTGTTAGCGCATTTCAAGGTGGACCATGGACGTGCCCATGTGTGATTGAATTGAAATACCCAGTAGTCCATTACCCACTGCTCAAGATATATCAAAACTTTTCTTGTTGCCACTTTTTATGTGCTAACATGTACTTTTCATTTACTATGACCTATTCTTCATCCTTAAAATTAATTGTCCTTTTGATGTTCTAGTAGATGTTTCAAAAAATGTTATCCACACCATCAAAAACCTTTTGTAAGGAGATATACCCTCCAATGCAAAATGAAATCAACAAGGTCCATTATAATTGTCAATGCACATGACCGAGGAGGAGGTCTACTTGAGTCTCGGATTCACCCCTTCTCACCTCCTATTTTATCTTCTAACTTTTTTACTCTTTAATTTTTCTTTTATCTTTCCTATATTCTTGTGTTATTGTTATATGATATTTATTTCCTTATTTTATTCGTTTTACTTACTTTTTCTCTTCAATTTCTTGTCTGTCTTCTTTGTTTGGCATCGATATCATAGATCGATTCATGTTAACCGATCCCAAATTCTTTGAGTTTTTTCGAATTAATGCTAATTGATTAATTAATTACGAATATAATGCTAGGTTAAAAGTATTTACCGATATACT